TTGTAACAAACAATCAATCAATAATATAGATCAATTTATTTTTACATGGTATCAGAGCCATAAGATTTAGGCCTATATTCCTTTCTTTCCGGCGGGCAGCCGGCCGGCAACCATACCTTCGCTGCCCGCTGGAGTTTTTCAACACCTCGCCGAAACAAACCCTATCTATTCAATCTCTCAAATTTCGAAATCCAAAACCAACCATGAGCTCTACAATTGTAGTATCACCATCAGTGAAGAGCAATCTCGGCAGAGGCAAGCCCAGAGCTTCAAAATCGGTCTCCCGATCTAACAAGGCCGGCTTCCAATTCCCTGTAGGCCGAATCGCTCGTTTCCTCAAAAAAGGCCTCTACGCCCAGCGAGTCGGCTCTGGTTCTCCCGTCTACCTCTCCGCCGTCCTCGAATACCTCGCTGCCGAGGTTTTGGAACTTGCCGGGCACGCTGCGAGGGATAACAAGAAGAATCGGATTGTTCCGAGGCACATTCAGTTGGCTGTGAGGAACGATGAGGAGTTGAGTAAGTTGTTGGGGTCTGTGACGATTGCGAATGGAGGAGTTTTACCTAACATTCATCAGAATCTTCTGCCGAAGAAGACTGGGAAAGGAAAGGGCGAGATTGGATCTGCGTCTCTCGATCTGTCGTCGTCTCCGCCGGGAAGGCTCGTCGGATCTGTCGCCTCTCCCAGATCTGTCGGGACTTCGCCTGCTCCGCCACTGGATTCTCTCTCCAGGCCATGGATTCGAGCCACGTGGCCCTGGTGGCATTACTCCTCAGATCCGAGGGCTTCGAGTACCATCGCTGTGATCACAACATATCCATGGGGATGACTGTGAAATGTATGAATATATATATCTGTTAACAGAAGCGACATCACATGGCCAGGCGTTTGTTAACAGAAGTCTGAATTTGTTTCTCCTTCCAACAAATACCACTTTCTTTGTGAGCTGTAAATCAGAACCTTGAAAACCCACTTAAAATTCTTTTTCTTTTTTTTTTTTTATTCTTTTATTCCATCTTCTTTGAAAAGAAACAACAAATACCACTTTCTTTGTGAGCTGTAAATCAGAACCTTGAAAACCCACTTAAAATTCTTTTTCTTTTTTTTTTTTTATTCTTTTATTCCATCTTCTTTGAAAAGAAACAACAAATACCACTTTCTTTGTGAGCTGTAAATCAGAACCTTGAAAACCCACTTAAAATTCTTTTTCTTTTTTTTTTTTTATTCTTTTATTCCATCTTCTTTGAAAAGAAACAACAAATACCACTTTCTTTGTGAGCTGTAAATCAGAACCTTGAAAACCCACTTAAAATTCTTTTTCTTTTTTTTTTTTTATTCTTTTATTCCATCTTCTTTGAAAAGAAACAACAAATACCACTTTCTTTGTGAGCTGTAAATCAGAACCTTGAAAACCCACTTAAAATTCTTTTTCTTTTTTTTTTTTTATTCTTTTATTCCATCTTCTTTGAAAAGAAACAACAAATACCACTTTCTTTGTGAGCTGTAAATCAGAACCTTGAAAACCCACTTAAAATTCTTTTTCTTTTTTTTTTTTTATTCTTTTATTCCATCTTCTTTGAAAAGAAACAACAAATACCACTTTCTTTGTGAGCGGTAAATCAGAACCTTGAAAACCCACTTAAAATTCTTTTTCCTTTTTTTTTATTATTTTATTCCATCTTCTTTGAAAAGAAACCGTTCTGCACAAACATTTTTTTTTTTATTCTATTAAAAGCATCCCCACTCTCCCAATTCCCCCACTCATTCTCTCTCTCCTATTTCTACTTTCCAACCAACCATTTTTTTTTAATATTTCAACCCACTCTTTCACCCCGTGCTTTGAGCAGTGATTGATTTTATTTTTTTTTTTATTTTTTTTATTTTCCTCTTCTTTGTTCAATTTATTTTTTAAAAAAAAAAAAAAAAAAAAAAAAAAAAAAAAAAAAAAAACAAACAAACAACCCCAACACAATTTACAAATTTGCACAACCACCCATATTTTATTCATCTCCGGGATCAACCCCGATCACCATTTTACACAAAAAAAAAAAAAAAAAAAAAAAAAAAAAAAAAAAAAAAAAAAAAAATCCACTAAACCTAACCCACTACACCACTACCATCTCACCTACTCCACTAAACCTAACCCACTACACCACTACCATCTCACCTACTCCACTAAACCTAACCCACTACACCACTACCATCTCACCTACTCCACTAAACCTAACCCACTACACCACTACCATCTCACCTACTCCACTAAACCTAACCCACTACACCACTACCATCTCACCTACTCCACTAAACCTAACCCACTACACCACTACCATCTCACCTACTCCACTAAACCTAACCCACTACACCACTACCATCTCACCTACTCCACTAAACCTAACCCACTACACCACTACCATCTCACCTACTCCACTAAACCTAACCCACTACACCACTACCATCTCACCTACTCCACTAAACCTAACCCACTACACCACTACCATCTCACCTACTCCACTAAACCTAACCCACTACACCACTACCATCTCACCTACTCCACTAAACCTAACCCACTACACCACTACCATCTCACCTACTCCACTAAACCTAACCCACTACACCACTACCATCTCACCTACTCCACTAAACCTAACCCACTACACCACTACCATCTCACCTACTCCACTAAACCTAACCCACTACACCACTACCATCTCACCTACTCCACTAAACCTAACCCACTACACCACTACCATCTCACCTACTCCACTAAACCTAACCCACTACACCACTACCATCTCACCTACTCCACTAAACCTAACCCACTACACCACTACCATCTCACCTACTCCACTAAACCTAACCCACTACACCACTACCATCTCACCTACTCCACTAAACCTAACCCACTACACCACTACCATCTCACCTACTCCACTAAACCTAACCCACTACACCACTACCATCTCACCTACTCCACTAAACCTAACCCACTACACCACTACCATCTCACCTACTCCACTAAACCTAACCCACTACACCACTACCATCTCACCTACTCCACTAAACCTAACCCACTACACCACTACCATCTCACCTACTCCACTAAACCTAACCCACTACACCACTACCATCTCACCTACTCCACTAAACCTAACCCACTACACCACTACCATCTCACCTACTCCACTAAACCTAACCCACTACACCACTACCATCTCACCTACTCCACTAAACCTAACCCACTACACCACTACCATCTCACCTACTCCACTAAACCTAACCCACTACACCACTACCATCTCACCTACTCCACTAAACCTAACCCACTACACCACTACCATCTCACCTACTCCACTAAACCTAACCCACTACACCACTACCATCTCACCTACTCCACTAAACCTAACCCACTACACCACTACCATCTCACCTACTCCACTAAACCTAACCCACTACACCACTACCATCTCACCTACTCCACTAAACCTAACCCACTACACCACTACCATCTCACCTACTCCACTAAACCTAACCCACTACACCACTACCACCTCCACTTCACCTACTCCTTACCTACTACACACTCATCCTCTTCTATATATAGGAATCATGAATCATTGTAATAGAAATCAACTTGTAACAAACAATCAATCAATAATATAGATCAATTTATTTTTACAGAAAATTATTGAAATGTGTTGAGGTAAATATGTTGGTAAGTTCGGATAGGAGGTGTAGATGGAATTGATTAAGGTGGCCCAAGTGCCCAGGGTGAAAGACCCAAAACACACGCGGAGGAGGTATCACTTCCCTTCCCGTTAGCAACCGGTAAAGTGGGGTTTTTGGTAGTGCTAGTTATGCCTACTTGCAAAGACAAACCTAGGGATTACCTGAGTCGTATTTACTGCCCCAATGAATTAAATTGTAAATTTCTGAGCTTGTAGAGAATTTCGAGTTATCATTATCATGGTGGTTTTCAAAGAGACATAAGCGAAATCTTTTAAAGGCATAACATGGCATGTACATTTCATATTGGGAATTCTTGCATAAATTTACGTACTTTATTAAGATTTCTCTACTGGGCTTTATGCTCACCCTATGGGATTTTGGTGCAGGAAAAGACGTGGTAAACCCGCCAAACTAGGGCATGGGAGTTTGTGTTGGGAGCACGAGGCTCTACTTTGTTGTGATTGTAAATTTTTGTAAGCCAAGGGCTATTCATGTATGGGTCCGTGAAGTCATTTTTGTGTAATCGGGCTTAAGCCTTGGAAATTGTAAGCCCTTGAGGGCATTTTATTTTTTGGGATTTGATGTTCTACATACTATAGATTCATGTATTTTATATCATTGAATGTATAATTCGCATGTGGGTCCATTTTTGTACAAACCTTATGGATTAATAATGTAAAGGTTGCAGAATTGTTATTATTCTTTAGTGAATGTTGGTTGAGGTACCTAATTTATGTTGGATTATTTTGGGGCCTTACAATCTCAGATCAGATCAGATCGGTACTCTCTCTCTCTCTCTCTCTCTCTCTCGGGGAACTCATTCTCAGACTGAGTTCTTCTCCATCTTAGATCATCCATGCATCTCAGATCAGATCAGATCGATACTCTCTCTCTAACACTCTGTTACTTTTTTGTGGATTTCATGCCGGATCGGTGGATTTAATCTTAGATCGGAGATATTGAGTGAACTCTACACTCTCAAATTGATTGTTCATCTCATCTACATTGAATTTGGTAAATGTAAGTAAAAAAATGTTTGTTGATCATTATGTAAGTAAGAGTTAAAGTTTCACTCACTGTTCATCATTTTGGGTGTGATTTCTGTTGATTGATCGGTACCTGTTGATTTAATCTCTCTCTCTCTCTCTGTCTCTCTGCATATCTGATTGTCTTTTTCAAATTCTTTCTAAGAGCGAAATTTGATATTTTTATTTTAAAAAGAGAAACTATAATTTCATGTTATACTAGTTTGTTTCATTAACTTTCATTACAGTGACTAATTAAATTTAAAATTAATTGTAAAATCTATTGCTTTACAAGTACTTTACATGGCTTCAGCTTCTGTGTTACATCTAAATGGTCCCTTCATACTCTTGCTTTTTTTTATTTGTTTGTGCTCTGCGGCTCGAAATGTTTACTTTAAACTCTTTGTTTGTTGCTTTTGTTTGTGTTGTTGCTGCTAGAAATGTTTGTTTGCTGTCATCTAAAATCAGTTTTTTTATTGTTTTTGTTTGATGCTATGTTTAGTTTTAATATAGAGAAGAACTCTGATTTGTGTAATGTGTATCCAGTTTTAGAAGAACTCTGCTTTGTGTAATGAGTATCCAGTTTGATGCTATGGTTATGTTTTTTAGGAATTAAAATGTTCTATATTTTTTTTGTTATTTAATTATGTGAATCCGTGATTCTAAACTAATCAAATCTGTGTTTAGATGGACTGGTTCGAATTGGTTCCACGATTTAAACAAATTTGATTGGTTCTAATTTTTCAGAAACCGTAGATAACGGATTGGTCCTGATTTTATTGCAATTCGGACCAATTCATACCATGCTCACCCCTAGCTTTGTGTGCACGACTTCCACTACTTTTCCATAAAGCACGATGATATGTTGTGGGATGGGGAAAAAAAAAACACAAAAAAATACAAAAAAAGTAATTTGCAAATAAAAAATTTTATACAAAAAATACAATTAAAATAATGTGTGAATGACGAAATAATGATTTATGAAATAATAAGTACAATAATAAATGTTTTAATTGAAAACTGAAAAGAAGAATCCACTTCATTTTTTATAAAAATTATATTAAAAAAAATATGTTTGCACATCATTATTCAAAAGAAAAAGTAAAGATATCGAAAAGATAAGAATTGTTGACTTTTGATTGGAAAGAATCTACACGCATAAAGTATATAAAAATACCATCAGAATGTAATAGATAAAAATGACCCAAAGGGAACAACAATTTTTTTTCTTTTTTGATAAAGTGATAGAAAAACCATTGATCGTAAACAGTTCATAAAATAATTGAAGATGCAACGGATGGGTAGAATGGAGATGCGACGGACGAAAATTGCCGTTTTGTATATATTGATTAGGGATAATTCGTGCCTGAAGACATTGCCAACAATTTTTTGATATCACTTGCTACGAAATTTAATGGTAATAAATGAATTTACATATAAGAAACTGAAATTGTTTCTACACATTGAATTAGCGAAGATATTTATAAATTTCAAATAATAAATTTCAAAATTAAAGTTCAAAAAATGAATTATATATGTCAGTGTAGCATATGCAAAGAATCTAGAAATATTTTCTAAACTTAAAGTCCAAATTGCAAATTTTAGATTTTTGTCCACGTCAAAATGACACATCTATACACTATAACAAGTTAGAATGGGATAACCTTCAATAAAAGAATGTTATTAAATTAGTATCATAACTGGTAACCCTTTCGCTTTATTAGATTTCAATGCCTTCAAATAAAG